GCACCACACCGTCCACTTCTACAGGGAGAAGTCCAGCTGAACTTCGTTGGGGGCGCCAACTTACTACTAGACTTGACCGGTTGCATCCGGACAGACTGCCTTCATCTACCTCACATCCTAGGGCACCTAGACAACTACTTGTGGGTGCCCCGGTTTGGGCTCGCAATTACGGGCCTGGTCATACATGGGTCCCCGCTTCTGTGTCCAGGATCACAGGTCCTCTCTCCTACGAGGTTGCCCTGGACAACGGTCGTGTCCTGCGTCGGCACATCGACCAACTCCGCTCTAGGCGGGACTTTTCTGCTGAAACTCCTGGGTCTTTTCCAGGGGGGGAGGGGGACCCTTTGGAGCAAAGGGAAGGGCAAGAGTTACTGCCCATCTCCACTGAGGGAGCCACAGACGGCCCGTCCCAAGATTCTGCAATTGCTCCGAAAAGGAAGTCATGGAGCTTACCCACACAACAGGCATCCACGCCTACTCCAGCCAGGGAGTCACCCCGGGGGCATACTCACTTTCCACACACATCACACAGCACTCCAGTCACGGAGGATACCCGGGGGCATCCCAACAAATCATTCCCCGCAAGAGAGCTGGCACACAATCCCCAAAGTTGGACTGACCTTACCCCAAATCCTACAGAGGGTCAAACATACACAGAGCTAGTCGAGGAACCAAGTCCCGACTACAACACCCCTAGCACAAATCAGGGGACACCTGAGTTTTGGGAGAGTACAGAAACCCACATGAGCCCAAACACAGAATGGGGTTCAGGGAATGGACAGCCTCCTGACAGGTCTTGGACTGACCTAGGAGGTTCTACAGAGACGCCCAGCAGCGGCTATCACTTCAAGGGGCCTGAGGGTCTACAGCTAGGCAGGTCAACCAGGTCACAAAGCAACAGAAGCCCTGGCCTGACGAGCCCGGTGGGCAAGCAAGCAGGCCAGGCATCGGGGCACAGTCCTTGGAAGACACCAGGGCACAATAGAGAGAATAGGCTCACGCCTCCCTCCAGTCAGGGGACTTATGCCAGTAACCCACAGCTAAGAAGGTCACAGAGAGCAAAGAAATCTCCCAAGTACCTAGAAGACTACATAACATTGCTGGCAAGGCAAAGGCCAGTAAACAGTGGGAGCACTGGGGAGCAAAATGTTATATAAAATAAATGCTGTATGTTGGTAGTAGTTTTAGCCCGGGGGAAAGGGGTGTTATGTCCCGAGCCTTTGCAAACGGCTCGGGCGTTTGCAGGCAGTCCCGGGCAGGTGCAAAGCTGCCCGGGACCAGACAGGCTGTCGCCAGCGCCGTGCGCATGCGCGGGTGCTGGCGCGGGAAAAGTAACCCATTTACCCGGGAGTTGCCTATATAAGGGGCTGCGAGGCGTTTGGGCTGAGCTGAAGCCATCTTCCTGTAAGCTGAACGCTGAATAAAGGAAACTGAGAACTCCAGCTGCTTCTCGTGTCTGTTTTCCCGCCAAGGACGTAACAACCTCCATCCAGGATGCCTGTTGATTTAAGTAAATTATGTTTTAAATCATTTGCTGTATGTCTCTGCTTATAAGAATTGCCTTCTTGGGAGCTAATCCAATACAAGTGAGTGATTCAGAATGTTGAATCAGTTTGGGTTTTTTTTCTTCCCCACTATGTAAACAGCAAGGAAATAAGAAAGTAAAAGTTAAAAGTTGCAGCCACTTTTTGCTATAGCCACCTGGAGAAAGTTTAGGTTTTCTTGTAATGGGCAGAAAGGTTCAGTGTTAGAGAACCCTGAAGAAGGAAAGAGTAATTTTTTCCAGTTATATCTAAGTTTCTGTAGTTATAAAGATATTGGAAAAGAGGATTGGAGATCCAGGTTCAAATTTGCCTTTAGCTGTGGAAACTCAGTAACTCTTGGTCAGTCAATTCCCAGTCTGATCTACCCTACAGGGCTGTTAAAAGAAAGTTGAGAGACACTGTGCTGGGTGTATTTTGATATTTTGGGGAAGAGCAGAGTTTAAATCTAATCAGTCAATCATTCCAACTTATTCTTACCTCTTTCTCATCTGCATATAGGTAATCCTTGACCTATGACCATTCTTTTAACAACTATTTGATGTGACAGAATGGAGGAGCTAAGCCAGGGGTAGGCAACCTTGGCTCTTTTATCACTCATGGACTTCCAGAATTCCAGCTATGCTGGCTCAGGAATTCTGGGAGTTGAAGACCACGAGTCATAAAAAAGCCAAGGTTGCCTACCCCTGACTAAGCTATGAGACATGATGTCTATGGAGATTCTCAGTCATCTGGGGCATGGTTGTCTCAAAGGTGTTTTTTCAAAAGGCACCTGGACTTTGGTTTTTCTTGAAGACTTTTTGCTTCTCATCCAAGAAGCTGAACTGAAGAAGCTTCTTGGATGAGAAGCAAAATGTCTTCAAGGAAAACCAAAGTCCAGTTGCCTTATGAGACATGATGTTGAGACTGAAAGAGAAGGGAAGTATACTGCTCACAAAAATAAAGGGAACACAAACGTATAGGATCCTATACGTTTATGTTCCTTTTATTTTTTTGAGCAGTATATATACTTCTCTTACAAGCAAGCACATTTGTATATAAAAGTATTTTTAGATAAAAATAATCAGCAAACGTGAACGGTTGTTATAGGCCATTCAGAGAAGCATGTTCTTAGACAGCCTTGGAAAAAGCATGGGAAAAAAAAAATTAAACAGCTTTAAAGAGACCCCATCTTCATGAACTCACTAATGCAGATAGTTCTCGACTTACAACACTTCATTTAGTGACTGTTCAAAGTTACAATGACCCTGAAAAAATTGACTTACGACTATTTTTCACAGTTATGACTGTTGCAGCATCCCTGTGGTCATAGAATCAAAATTTGGATGCTTGGCAACTGGTTCATATTTATGACTGTTGCAGTGTCCTGGGGTTGTGTGAACAGCTTTTGCGACCTTCTGACAAGCAAAGTCAATGGGAAAGCCAGATTCACTTAACAACCATGTTACTAACTTAAGAATTGCAATCATTCACTTAACAATTGTGCCCAGAAAGGTCCCAAAATGGGGCAAAACTTACTTAATAAATGCCTAACTTAACATTATCAATTTTGGGCTGAATTGTGGTCGTAAATTGAGGACCACCTGTAAAAGAAGGCTGGAGTATTCCAGTCTCAGTTCTCATGATTTTGTACTCGCTCCCTTATTTTTGGCATTAAAATAGATACTCTGAATTTAGGCAGTTTGGCTGCTGAAAATCTCCAGGTTCCAGAAACTGAAGAACTCTGAGGTAATGGGAGGATCACCAAAAATGGAGGATGATCGTATTTTAATGGAACTTTTGTACCCAATCAGAGAAAATCCAAAAAAGATATAAGAAGATCATTGTTTTGCTAGTTGTGTAAGATTGATAACCAAGCATAATTAAAGCCCTAAATTAACTGGGGGGAGGAGTTAGTAATACATAATTAACTGTAAACATTTTGATACATTATATATTAGGCACATGCTAATCTAGTAGCAGTAGTGCTACTTTACATGGAGCAAATTAATCATTGGAGGAAAGAAGGAAGTAAATCATAACCCCTTTACTGCATGCCAAGTTTCTTTGAAAGCAAATATAGGAAGAGACGAAAGGAATATTATCTGCTTCTCTATTTAAATTAAATGTGGTTTAATGATTTATCTTTAGATCTGAAAGAGAAACTAAGACTTTACTATCTCTTGAATTATGCCAGAAATACAAATTTTGATTACAAGAATCTCTTTTCCATATTGGAATTTTCCTGGTTGGATCCTGAGGGCCTAACTGCCCCCCCCCCCCGACAAATTATACTGGCTTAAATATTCATATGACAAAATGAGCCAAGGGGTATGAATAAGTGCAACAAAATGTGTTACAGAGCCTTACAAATGATGTTACATTTCATTTTGTAAATGAATGTGGAATCAGCTCTTCTTTTTTTTCCAGTAGAGCAGTTAGTTCTGCATTAATATATTGGATAAGGCCAAACAAAGGTGCATAGAACTTAATTTGATTATCTGCTCCTGCCTCTTTCCTCTAACACAGCTCTTGGTGGTTTCCCAAAAATGAGGGAATTGAGGGATTTCACAGGTATGTTTGCAAGTGAATTGGGTGAGATCAGGCAATAAAGAATTAAAGAGAATTTGCCAGAACAATCTTATCAATGTGCTTTTCTACTTAAGCAAGACATTTGTAGATCCAGCCCACTATGGATTGCTTCAAAGCATCGTAGCCTCTATTAAGAGAGTAGGAGTGCGAGGGATACAATATTTATGTATTTGCTTATGGATAAATGCCACTTGCATTGCACCATTTATAAAAATTACAGGGCAACGTAAAGCAATCATTAATAAACCTTAATAAAAAAGCCATGGAAGCCACCCCTCAAGTATACCATGCATTTCATAGAAGCTACAAATAATTTACAAATTCTTGGCAGAACGCTAGTTTTTAGATGGGATTAAAAAAAAAAGTTGGCTTGATGCATGTCTTCAGGTTACCAATTCCATATTTAGAATTACCTATCACCATCTCATATAGTTTCTGCAATGGGTCTTTGTCCTCCAGAATTAAGACCCCAGATGTATTATCAGGCCTGACCCAGATATGTCATTCCCCAAACCTTTGCATTATTTATTTTAACCATCTTCATCCTGGCTGGTGAGAATTTTCTGCTTAAATTCATTGGGCATAGTATCCTTTTTGGTTCTGCTTGAAAACAGCACTCAGTTCTGTGCACAACTGTGCAGAAATACATTTAGAAAACGATCTAAGGTACTTTATTATTTATATTAATGTAATGCATATTGTGAACCAGTTTTTAAATCTTATTTTGAGGAACGATCACATTTACTCAATGATCCAGTCCCAAACTATGTCAGAATTATTTGTTTGTTTGTTTTTTAAAAAAAGGGGGGGAGCTGATCTTGTAATTTATGATTTTAATGAATAATTAAGTCCTATTGGTGAACAAGACGATATGATCCAGTTTAAATATAAAACAAAACTCAGGGGTATACACACACAGAGAGAGAGAGAGAGAGAGAGAGAGAGAGAGACAGACAGACAGACAGACTGACAGACAGACAGACTGTACACTAAATAAATCATTGCTCCCTTTTTTCTGGAAGTACAATTAAGCCATGAATTAAGGAAAAAAGTATATTTTGGCCAAATACACTTAAAACTCCAAATCAAGTTTTTATTGTTTAGCAAAGATTTGCAGACAGGGTTCTGGGTCTTGAAAAGATGTGTTGTGCCAGATTGTTCAGGGACTTAGGCTGTGCATATTTCTTCAAGTGGTTCAACAAAGATTCATGGCATAGCCTAGATTCCAAAACTCCTAGGCAAGCTGACGGTTGCAAATATCCTTTCCTTCTGACAGCATGTGTCACTGTAAGGGAACTGGTCTCTCTTTCGATATGTGCAGGCACACGTATACGGTAAGAACCTTTTCCAGTAGTTTTCTAGGATCTGAACGTAGGAGAAAATGTGCTCTATGTTCTAGTGGCTCCTTTACAAAAAAACAGTTTCCGGACTTTGGACTGAAGGTATGCAAAGTGAGTGCCACAGCTTTTTGTGTCAATAAGAACTGATTTGCATTATCGTGTAAAGGAAAGTTAAGAATTCAGTGACTTGTGATATCAGAAATCTAATTGATTTATTTATTTCTTTTTGCCATCTTTTTCTTAAACAGATTTTTTGGTGGTATATATTGTCATTATGAGATGTTGTCTCTCGGCGCTTCATTTGTGCAAATTAAATTCGATGATCTGCAGTTCTTTGAAAACTGTGGTGGCGGAAGTTTTGGGAGTGTATATCGAGCCAGATGGTTATCTCAGGACAAGGAGGTGGCTGTGAAGAAGCTGCTTAAAATAGAAAAAGAGGTAAGGCCCTGAGCATTACATTTACATTTTGAGCTGGAAGTTATAGCCTCAGCTCTTTGCTTTTGGTGTTTCTGAATTCTGTGATGTTTGTTTCCTTCAATTGTCAAAGCATATAATTCTGGAAAACTCTACTATTAACAAAAATCAGAAAACCATTTTACAATTAGGTAGCCAAATACTTTTGGTAGAATAAATTAATTAAGCCTCAAATAAAGTTAATATAGTGAGTGTGTATTAAACCATAAACGTAGAAAACAATATGTTAATGAGTCAAATCATTTTCACTTCCTGATTTTTAAGCAAATGTGCCATGTAAACAAGATGCTCTGTCTTTTGGTAAAATAGTGCTGTTCCAGGATTGGATTTTTGTACTTGGATATAAAGTGACTTGTCATGTTGGTTTTCCTGGGAATCACATGCTTTTTTTATTGGGACAAGGTTGAAGGTCTGGTGTACAACATCATATTTCAGTCAGACTTGTATGTTTGGAAATGTTTTGTAATACTAACAGGCATTCCCAATAAGAATCTGTTCTTCCATTCTAAAGCAAAGCAGTGCCGTTAACACTCGTGAAGCACCTGTCCAAGGAAATTGTAGTAATGAATATTTCTTGAGTTGGATGAGGGTGGTGATGGGGCTCTGTGCATAAAGGGGTATCAAAGTTCCTCCTTAGCAATAATATATGTAGGACTAGTTCCTGATATAGAGATAATGCGTCCACACTATGAAGAAAGTGGCTTTAGTAGAAAGAATATGAACATTACAGTACTTTTAACATCTCGGTCTTTCTATATTTATTTCATTGCAGGGAAATAGTAGTAATTGTTGTTCTGGATCAGCCAGTTAGATGGGTCTGTATGTTAGAATGTTTGGCATTTATAAGGTTAAGCGCTGTCTCCTTAAGAGATGGCTTATGGGTAATGTAGTTTAGCTATTCAGTAAATCCCATGTTAACAGGTCAGTAGGAGGGGCTACTAAGTTCATCACAGGATATCCTGGCTACGTGCCAGTTTGGAATGTCTTTGTCTGAGATAAGCATGGGACCACCAGAAGATAGACACAGCCATAATCCACATTAGAAGTTGATGTGAAGGAGTTATTGATTTTTACTGTTCAGAACAATAGTAATAGTAGTCTTGACAGAAAAAAATTGTATGTTATGGGCAGTATTAAATTCACATTTCCAATGATTAGTCAGAGTAGTAGACCCCATTCTATATGGATTAACTAGACCAGGGGTAGGCAACTTTGGCTCTTTTATGACCTGTGGACTTCAACTCCCAGAATTCCTGAGCCAGTATGGCTCAGCTTAGAAACCTCTCCCTTTCCCTTCAACATGGCTGGCTCAGGAATTCTGGGAGATGAAGTCCACGAGTCATAAAAGAGCCAAGATTGCCTACCCCTGAACTAGACAGTAAACCGAATTGATTAGTTCAAAGAGAGTAAACAATTTGTTTAGTTCTAAGTTACAACAACACTGGAAAAAGTGACTTAGGACTGTTTTTTACACTCACGACTGTTGCAGCATCCCCATGGTCACGTGATTAAAATTTAGGCACTTGGCAACTGGCAAGTTTTTATGACAGTTGCACAGTTCCAGGGTCATGTGATCACTATTTGTAACCTTCCCAGCCAGCTTCCAACAAGCAAAGTGAATGGGGGAACGATCACATGATTCCCTTAAGAACTGTGGCAAAAATGCTGTAAAATGGGAAAAAAGTCAGTTAACAACTGTGTTGCTTAGCAACAGAAATTTTGGTCTTGATTGTGGTCATAAATCGAGCACTACCTGTAGCAAACCAAATTACAAAGTTGTTACTAAATGTTCTCATTAAACCAACATTCCCTTGGTTGTCTTGGAGAATTAAAAAAAAATCAACAAAGTAGTAAACACAGTAAAACAGATAAAATACAACAAAATCAAGTTTTAAGTAGTCTTAATATCTGTTTTGCAACATGTATAGCAGCCAGTGCGAGACTCATCTTCTTAATATCATTTATTTGTTATTAAAAAAATTGGTATGAGACCTGAACAAGTATTTGAAATGTGAACTGTATGCTGAAGAAACTACTTCACTTTTTATGAAACAGTTGTTACGGTATAATATAAAATAGTTATAATAATCATAATAATAGTTATGATTATTTGTATTTCTCAGGATTAAAGGACCACTTCGCTTGATATTTTGTTTTTATTATTCATTATTAATTTATCTCCTGACTTTCTATCTATATGGCATTTTAAGTCAGCTTAAATAATTAAGAATGCAAATTCCAAACATTAAGAACAAAAACAGTACAGTTAAATTTAAAGCAGCATTAGTAAATCCAATTCAATTGTCTACTGTCAAATATTGCTTCTGTAGAGGTCTACTCCAAGGTAGGTTTAATTGAGTTCAGTGGAGCTTCCTAACTGAGTGGAATAGAAATGCACCCCAAAAAATTAAAGGACCTTATCTGATATTCCAGATTTATTTTTCTTTTAATGACCCTGCAGTCCCTTGCATTGGAGGGGAGTTGGGGCAACTGAATGGAGCTGAGTGTTTACTGGCTGGATGCCCTCCCTGATGCCTATGCAGGGTTTGTAGCAGATATTTGCACCCAGATAGAGAAATATCTGCCGCTACCTAGGATCAAACTCATAGCCTTCTGATTGTGAGGCGAGAGCTCTACCTCTAGGCACCACACTGCTCACCTGATATTCCCAAATTAATTAAACCAAATTTTCTGTGCTCTATTGCAGCGGTCTCCAACTTTTCCAGCTTGGTGGCCCAGTCCAGCCCGGCGCAGTGTGTGTGTGGGTATGAGTGCGCGCACAGCTCCATTTGTCCAAGAGGTGTGTGTGTGTGTGCCCTCCACTCATGCGAATGGAGCTTTGGACGCAAGCTTGCACTGGCCTGTGAAGCTCCCCTCACACAAGTGGCAGGCAGTTGCACTTGTGGGAGTGGAGCTTTGTGCATGAGCACATGTGCTCTCTGCTTATGTGAGTGGAGCTTCACATGCATGCACTTGCTTCTCCTGCAGCCTGGGTTCGAACAGGCTGCAGCCTGGGATTGGGGACCCCTGCTCTATTGTGGGTTATGCAAGTAGACATCTGTTTGCACATTGTGGCTTCTTTTTACTTTGCTTTCTCCTCTCCTTCCCAAATCTGCTTTAAGGTGGTCCCGCACTCAATTGAAGGAGTTATGCTGCCTAGCACAAAGACAACTATTCTTCACTTTGAAGCATGTTTCTAAAAATATCTCTAAATGAAATAGAACTATAATTTTCATTGCTTAGAGTAGGCAGCTCAGTCATGTCATCTGTGTTCTTCTCTAATTCATAAATTAAAGGGCTCACCTAGCTTCTTCTTCCTAATCTCAATAAAACTGAACAGAGTCCTATTTGAATAGAAGACCACCAGGAAATTTGAAAATTGTAAATTAGATAGGGAAGCTGAAAAAAATATATATAAAAAGAAGTAGTAACAAACTGTAGCTATGTTGCTGCTAAGAAATGTACATGAATATGCTCATTAGGTGTCAAGACCAACCCAAGGAAATTCTTAGTGTTCCATTTTTAATTTAATTCAGATTGCAAATGTCTATGTCCCTCGCAGACCTAATATCCTCAAATTATTTGTGAAATTCAGCCTCCATTATTAGCTGAAGGTTAATAATTTCGTTTATGATTGGTTGTGACTTTTTACTTTAAAATCATTGAGATGCCACTGCAGTTCCTTTTCATAAATACACTTTTGGCAGTCAGTTTGGAGCCTGTTTCATTCTTGGAAAAAATTAATTAAAATGCTCTGCTTGTTGTTGTTTGTTACCAGCAAATATAAGACTTATATGGGTCATGGGAATTTCATGAGCTAATAGAAAAAAAATTATATTTTTAGGTAAATTGAGCAGTTTTGTAATCTGAGAATAGGGTGGTTGTATATATTGTCTGGGTTCATGGAAGTGTTAGAATTATGTGTGTATGGCATGTTTAATTTAATTTATAGCACATTGTCAAGAGATCCACACTAGCAGCTTATCCTGTTTATACAGTAGATTTGCAACAAGAAATTTCAGCCTCGGTATTCCACTGTAGGAGGGATGTCTTGGTCTATGGTGGCCAAAAAAAAAGGAATCTGGCAGTTCTTTTTCCAAATAATTAATTAAAATGTATAAGCTTTTGTGAGTTGCAGCTAACTTCATCACATACACAGGGTGACTAGATTGATGAGGGCAAGAAAAAAACAAGAGGAAAAAGATGTGGAGGAAAGATCCGGGAAGCGAGATTAGTTACGTAGAAACATGCTATATGTACCACATATTACAAGTACCCTGTCGGTTAACAATTTGAATATGTTTGATATGTTAAAAACTCACTGTATATAACAATGGCTTGCTTGATGGTGCTGTTAAAGTCCAGGTTTCCCAAAACGGTAACTTTTAAGTTACTTTTCTGTAACTTTTAAGTGTTCTGGGAGGTTCAAATGCTTTGATAATTATTTCATTCTTGCTTGATTATTGATGTCAGACTTGTGTCCAGTCTGAGCAAAGTTTGTCTATTTTTCCCATATAGAATCCATATGGGCATTGCTGCAGACGATGACTTACATCACAGTGGAGGAAAAGTTTCTAATCTTGTGGGTGCACTAATTGTGGTTTGTCATGGGGTTGTTGGTGTAGATATTGGGGCACAGTAGACATGTAAGTTTGTGAGAGAGGGAGAGTGGATCTTAGAGTGAGAAATATCTGAGGTAACTTTCAACTAGATACACTAAGAGATGGAGAGAGTGATGGCAAGTACTAATGATAGCTGAATGAGTACAGGATGAAATGTATGAGTAAAAATACAGAATTGTAAAGACAGAGTTGGAAGGCCATTGGGTTCCCAAGTGCTCCTCCTATTTTTTCTTCCTTGATTATGTCTTCTCTGTTGGGTTGTGTCAGGTCAAGAATATTGTATCTCATTTTCTTAAACCCTTTTCCACTCACCAAAGGAGAAAGTTACTGGAAAGGCAATTT